CAAAACATTTTCGACGAAAGCTTATACTAATTTCTAAAATGTAAAATCTAGAGACGTAATTATGTTGCTGAATGGGTACAGTAGAGGGCATTTTGTGCATGTTGTTTGTAAAAGATATCTCGATAAATAAAAGCATTGAAAACAATGAGAAAAAATCAAACTATTCAATTAGTCATATTTGTATACTGTAGTTTTCGCAGACGGCCGGAAGGAACTTGTTTAAAAACTGGCATGCCGACGTGAATGACATTTTGAGATTTTACTGAACTATAACCAATATTATAACCATACTTGAATTATCCCTTCGAATCGAAAGCCAATTTTGCAATTTTTACTAACTTTTCTTGAGATAACACATTAGTTGTAGGCTTAGGAAACTCTAGTTTATGCTTCTTGATTCATCGTTTGGTTAGTATTATCAGTAGAATTTATCTGTTTTCATCAAATTTTAGTCACCTTTTCTGACGTGGACAATAAGGAAATTGAAATTGCGAGGCATGTATTCGCATAAAAAGTAAATTTCTCAAATTTTTCTAATGGAAAATGAGACTGTACGCATGATTTTAGCAGTGAAAAGTGACTATTAAATCGGTGCTGTTTTTCCTAAATCAGACCTGTCTAAAGTACCGTTAAGCATGTCATTACAACTTTTTTGCGCATTGATGCGAAGAAATTCCCCAGAATGCAGTTGTTATTGCTATTTCAACCATACAAACTTAAAGTAGTAACATCATAAAATACGACTTGTTTATTCTATTTTGAGAACTATTTTAGCAACAATACCATTTGCTTGGAAGAACCTACTCAACTATTGTGAATATCGTTGAATGTCTAATATAAGCATCTATACAATTAATTATATATGGGAAATGTTCAATAGTCATACACCTAAATCTCTGCAACTAACCCATCTATGTGTTTTTAAAACAGTACCTTACATAGTTTGGTATTTATATTTTGCCATTTCATTCGATAAAGACCTCAGAAAAAGTAAGTGAGTGGTTAGCAGTGACTTCTTGTTCATGCAAATGTGTAATCTTAACATACGTTCAAAATCTGGCCAGTCTCATAATACTCTATTGAAGTCTTGGTATTATTGCTACAAGAATGATCTAACGTCGGTCTCACTTACTGTGGAGGCATAACCGGCTAAAGAAGCATAAATATGTTGGTAACTTCAGCATCCTCATTAAGCACCGTTTGGAGTTGGTTCACAATTCTTTGGGTTTTTATTGATGAATTGTTATTTTTTACATTTATCTGTTGTAAAGCGATCAAGTAATTGACCGTGTCCCTCTATCTAGGAAATGTTAATCGAAAATTCCACAACTGTCAAAATAAAGCAACTTAATGCCCGACAAAAGACTTCTCATGGAAGGAGCTGTGAAAACTAAATTTTCTAAATATTTTGGTCTTTAAAGCTAGGAAATATTCTGAATTTTTAACTGTCTTCCCAAATGTGACTGTGATCCAAATTTGATTAAACTCGCGTCGTCCGGCGGGGCCTCGTAGCTCAGGTGGTTAGAGCGTTGGCTGTGCTAAAGCCTTCCCCTTACTGCGTGGGTTCGAATCCCACCGAGGTGCCGAGTTTTTCACACTCGCGTCAATACGAATTAACTGTGTTCTGTATATCTTGTGTCCAGTAGGTGTTTAACTGGTAAATAGTTGGGATATGTTAAAAAACCTTAGATGACTTACCAAGAACATCGCTAATTGTATCTAACATAATTATGCAGTCCGTTTATCGTTTGCTGAACCAAATCAATGAGTACTTTGTTCTTTCTTTTGCAACTTGCAAGCAAGAATGTCAATTCAAAGTCTGAGTAAAACATCTATTTGTTCAGTCAAAGTCGAGGAAGTTGAGTTAATGTCCTTTCTAAGCGGCCGTTAAATGTTCATTTATGTAGGTACAGAGGAACATCTTCTTCTGACTTTGGAAGCCAAAGTAGGATGGGCCTGAATTATTCGTATAGTACTGTCATTAGGACACATTCTTCCACCAATGAAGGGCCAGCAGCTTGATGGACTTTACAGTAGGATATTATCATGACATGTTTTGATCTAGGATAAGGTAGTGGGCCAGTAGCACTTCTTACATACGGATTAGACTCCGGACAATGTCTAGTCCAACAAAAACGTCTCTAAAGCGCTTAACACTTCCGGACTTTTCAAAGGCAGCCATCCAGCGGTCTTCCCATATCTCTCCAGAGACATTTCTCTGCCACAAGCACAGTCGTCATGCATCCTAAGCAAACCACTTTTCAATTCACATTCAATACCGATATCCTCGCGTAATTCATTGGCAGGCTGAGAAACGTAATCTCGTTAGCTAATGATTCACAACCGTGCATTTGAGTCCTTTTCTCTTCCTAGTAAACATGACGTTCGAATCAGGCACTTCTGGAATGCGCAATTGCTGGAAGCTGTGATTTGTTAGGTTGAAGTTTTTAGATCCCACATGAATCCATAACCAAAGACAGTGTTAAAAACGGGTTGTAATTAAACTAGTGTGGCAGTATTTCTGGGATATTGAAGTTCAACTGTCGCCACAGTAACTGTTCACTGTCTGTCTCACCGTATGGTGGGCGCAGGAACGATGACTTATGAACATTTATGATGATATTACACTTGCAATGCACTAACCACACTCTCTCCCCCTTCACCATTCTGAGTCGAAGATGAAACCAGAGTCAAAGAGATCGCAGACAGGAATCAGCACACTGGATCGGGTTTCCGCCGGAACAAAAAGAGTGGCTAAGACCGTAACTGAGTGGAAGGGATATGAACGTAGCTGGAAGAACATCCTCTATTTCTTACATAACTGTTTTACCTACCACCTTAGTGTGTCATTTGCAGAACCCCAAGCCAATTTCCCCTGCTGTAATGCCTTCCCTTAGAAGGAATCTAGTGGCGGGTCAAATCTGAGGGCATATCAGAGCTGGCAAATAAGCTCCCACTAGGTTCATGACAGTGAGCTGAGTCCCTAAGTCAGTGTTAACTGTGGGGGCGAATCCGGAGGTACTTCAGAGAGTAGAAAAATAAATATCGTAAGGTGCCTGAACAAATCTTGAGGAGAACTCAAACACACTTGATATGGCCCTGAGTGTATTTCAAAAGAAATGACCCACGTATAAGGCGCAGCTGGTCGCACCTGTTATAATAGTTTCTTGATTCATGGTCGATTAGCAAACGCGGTGGCCCTTTCCCTCCTGGGCAGAGTGCTTAGTCGCGCGGGCGAATGCCACTCTGAATGCTAATGTCAACGAGAAAATTGGCGGAGTGATTGCCACGTCAGTCAAAATCATGGGCAATGAAATTGGGGCAACTAGCGACTCAACTGTTTGCTACCAAGCCACTATCGCGACCACTACAACCATCTTAAGTGAACGCTGAGGCGTTAATTTTGGTAGGCATGTAGTGGCATAGCATCCGTACTTCATGAATGCTGATGATACATGTGACTTCGAATGCAAAACTTCAGCGATCGATTCTTTTTCTTTTAGACGGGTTTCTGGAACTCGTTCTTTCGTTTCTACCATCACTTCCGCGTGTTCCTTGATAGGCTTATATATTTAACCAAAAGAAGAAGATACGATTAATGGAACAAGAAGTCTATTGGCCTGAAGTTTTAGATTTCTACACTCACTTTATCTAATGTTTGCATGAAAAAACACTTATGAACCTATTTTTATCAATGCAAGCCATACTCAAACTTGGGGTGGATAAGCTGAATGTTGAACCAGAACTATTTGATCATTAAGCGCTAAATCATGTTCTAACGTTAGCATTCATAAATACTAAGTTGTCTACATTCCTCGGTCATTGATCGACGCCCTGGGATGATTTGAGTGTAGCATGAGCCCGCCTCTATTCCGTCAAGCAATCAGAATGGATATATGAAAAGACATTTCATTGTTCGCAAATTGAACTTACGATGTTCATATAAACCGGTGTGACAAATACGACAAATTCAACGATGCCAGAAATATACACACATATATATAAAAACAACTTATTTTGCATTTATCAAAAAGGGTACTCTAGTTCGTCTTTCACAAACCGTCCAGCAGTTTGCGATGGAGTGTATCGACTTTCTGATTCGCTGGTTTGTCACCGCATAACAGAAAGGATTTAGCAGGGAGTTGACATAACATAACCAGTAGAAAAACATGTAGAGGTCTGACGAGTTGCAAAAAATTGGCCATTCTGGACAGAGAAAGGGAGAAAGCAGACTGACCACATGAAAGGGCGTCCAGAAGACGATGTAGGCTAACAGAATGAAACAAATATTTCGTGTTGACTTCCACATTCGCCGCATGATCGCCAGAGTCAAGCGCGAATTTGGAACATATTGTTCTCCACCTTTTTTGTTCTTACTACATGCACTGCTGCTTAGAGGACTGCTTCTACAATCCTGCAATATCAGTCGTGATCTAATCACGGAAGAATTAATTTCTGTTTTTTCGTCTCCAACAGACTTCTGAATGAATGTCAGCATGTCTTCGTCCTTCGTAGAAATTCGTATCTCTGGATTATTACGTGACGTGCGTCCCGATTTTTTGAGCAAGGAATTGTGGGGATATTCACGGGACTTCCTAATTGGCGCCTTAACGTTCTCGTTCCTAGGGAAGGACAAAGTTGGCTCACTATTTCTGGCCCGAGACTGAGGTAATAGAACAGCATGCTGGGTAGAAGTTGTGGCAGCATATCCGTCACCTGGGAGCGTCCAAATGGATAGGGTCCGGAATTCGTAGGCCATGAGTGCTAATCCACTGCAATTGAGAGGAGCCTCGTTGAGCCCCTCTCCTGCCTTCTCTTCAAGACTGCTTGCAACCCTCTCGGCCTCTCTGCTTCTTTTCGGGGAGACATCGTCTTCAACTGCATCCAGTCCTCGCCAAAAGCGCCTGACTACTTGGCTCCGGAGACCTGACCGCGAACGGAGTGCAAAGGCAACCCGATAGATGGCTATCAGGAGACAGAAGATGACGGTCATGGTAAGCCAGAAGTAGACAACAATGACAAAGGTGTTGGCAACTGGATGCACGCTGAACTCTGCGTAGCACTTCCGCGTAGAACTACTGTCATATGGCCAGCCAAAGATGAGGAAGCCGAAGACGACACTGGGTATGATCCAGCTAGCGCCTATGAGGGCGAAAACCTTTGTCTTTGTTCTCCAACTGTTATAGGCCAGTGGGATTTTGACGGAACAGTAGCGGTCAATGGTGATGAGGAGTACAGCATACTGACCGACTGCGCAGCCGGAATAGTCCAGAAACAGCCAGAGGTCACAGACAAATGAGTCTGCTAGCCAACTGCCGATAAGTCGGTTCGCCGTAAAAAAGTTTAGCGGCAGAATGCCCATGAGAACGTCCACGAGGGCGAGGGAAGCAATGAAGTAGTTTGAAAGTGTCCTTGCGTGCTTGTTGGAAAAGAATGATACAAGAATGAGAGAGTTAATTACAAGGATTAGCACACCGAAGGCAGAATTGGCAATTGAGATTGCGATTTGATCGTAGGTGATGTGACGTTCGGAGAAGTTTCTGCATCCAGGCATATCGCACCTAATGCAGCCGCATTAGTTAAGGCATCTAAAACACAGCGTTTTAACACATTGGGCATGAATTTACTGCAACAGACACGTTTAGCAAATCAGGCGTCTGTTTCAAACGCGTAACGGGGTATGGTCGACTCGAATATTTCGCACGACCCTCCAGGATCTTCAGCATTTCAAGATCAGCGCATCAGGGAGTTTATCCTCAGTAGCCAGAAGAGAGTTTAGCCTCTAAAAGGGACGCAACTGTCACATTAAACATATATAGAACAAATTTCCGAATATAAATCGTCTCCGGATTGAAGGAGTTAAACTGCCTACATAATTCTCTATCTTGATAAAGAATCTTACCGTTTTTTGCCTTGACTCTTCTGATTGCTGGCTATTTCTCCAAATTCCGAAAGTGGCTCATTCACTAAAATTTCAAATGAAAATTGAACAGGCAGAAAATTCAGCAAGCAAGGGGCACACAATGAAGGGGTGATAGTTTATTTTTACATGCAATTAAGCTGGCGGTTTTTAAGATGTTTATTAAATGAATGGAATTGCAAACACCAAAATAACCGCTCAAACCTCTTAATGTTTTCAACTGACATAAAGGAATGCTCAGCCCCTGTTTTAGTTGACGGAAAAAATATTTGGATTGGACGAAAGCAAGGGTATTTTAAGCCAATAACAACGCGCCTATGTAGACCAATACAAATTTTCCTTAATTTGGTTACTCTTAGTCTATATGACAAAGTAAGCCAAGTGGAGAGATTTCGAAAGGATCACTTTCTGCTAATATAGTGGATCAGTCGGAACACCGACAGTCTTTCCTCGTGAAAGAATCCAGTGACTGTGTATCTGCAGTGGAAGTTTTGTTTTAGCTATGGTTTACTAAAAATTAATACCGCCATTTGACCCGGCATGACGGGAAAACTCCTTAATTATGAGCCACAAAACAGGCCTATTTGTGAAAAATCCGACCAGTTTTGCATATTCATTTGCCCGATCTACAATGATATCATTCTTATAAGTAGTATATTATTGCCTAAACAACCACGTCAGCTCTTGAACAAAGAATTTGCTCCAATGCATAAACAGGTTGCATTTTCAATGTTAAAAAGGATTTATATGAAAACAAAAACTTTCCCTGCAACCTGGCCTTAGCTTGACACCCAGTATGATGTCGCAATCATTTATGGAGATAAAAGTTCATTTTTCTTGTCTACCGCAGTAGCTTGAATAGCAATGCCACTGGTTCCTAACTAACACCCAGACTGTCAAACGGTATAGTGCACTGCTCACTGGAACTTTTAAAAGTGTCTAGTCAAAGTGCCCAGTCTATCTTTGATTTAAAGAAAAAATCTGCCCAGGGATATCAATTATGCGGAAAGCGAAGTAGTATCACACGCTCTTGAGTTTGCTTAAGGTCATCTTATTTTCGGTTATAAGTGAATTCACATCAAACACGCACTGGCTTTACGCATAAGCTGTGTTTACATAATCCCCTAGTTGAGGACAGTATTTTTATTTTTTAGGCATTCTTGAGTAATTGTTAAGAGTCCTGGCTGGAGTTTGCACAGCGACAACTAGTAAATTAAAAGATCTAACAAGGAACATGGCATGCGGACTGCTCCCATTTTAGTCAACCATACCTTATCAGTCTGTCCGCCTTAAATGTGTGTCCATTTGACACTGGAAGTAATGTAAATTTACGACTGATTAATAATGGCAACCGGACAACTAATAGCTGATCCTTTCCTGATATTTTTTTGAGAGTAGCCTACAATACAGAAATAATCCAGCAGAATAGCGCATTGAGGATGCCTCTTAATAATTGGTTTATCGTTCAAGAAAAACTTTAGCGTCCAACTGTTTCGTGCTAAACCACACGCATATATCTGCATATGCTATTGGAAGTTAAGTGTGCTACCTGAGGTTAAATTTCAGTGTTGCGCAGTCGCAAAATATCTATAGACACATTCAGAAAATAAGTTCGTTCGAAAAAGTCTGCATTTGATGGATTATTATCGAGCCAGAACACTTTTATTACGATGAAAATTACATTATGTGGCAAATAAAAGTCGGGTTAGGTTCTTCTATTCACACGAGTCAAGTTTGCCGGCGATTAGAGTTGGGCTGTATCAGTCTACTTAGTCACTGATATTTAATGTTGGCAGGGGTTGCTTTGGTCTTTGGCGATGGTAGCTGTGGCCACTACATGCCGTTCTTCGATAAATATAAGACCGGAAAACTTACCCTTCGTGTAAACGCTTTTTCTATCGATAACAATAACTGTCCCGGTGGCTTTGGACGTGATTTTTACCGAACGGGTTAAAGAAAGCACATTTTGAGCATTTTGTCTGTAAAATATGTCTCAATGTATGACCATCGAACATTAACGTGAAAAACAAATGTTACGCAATTGATCAATTTTTATCGAGTATGATTTCTGCTGGAGGTAGAAAAGAAATGCATGCAAAAGTCGACATCACGATAAGCCCAAAATACCAAAGAAATGAGCCGCATGACAATCGATATTACAGCCCCACCTAGGTGCTCCTTCCTAATCGAAAACGGATTTCAGAACTTCTGCCAACAGTTCATAAGATCAGTGACGCACTGTTTTTTCTAGGATCGTGAAGTTCACTTCTGACACAGAAAGTATTGCAGTAATCCGCAGTGAGAGATAACGTCCAGCGAGTGATAACATCCTTCGCCGGAACCCTGTAACACCTTTGAGTTCTACAGGGCTAGGATACATAGGAGTATTGATAAGCATATTTGTCTGGGCCAATGGACCCATGCTTCCCCGACCAACAAAAGCAATGCACCCCCATCCACACGGAGCGCTTGGACTTTGCTTGTCCAGGGTAAGATAACATGTGAGGGCCTGCATTTTAGTGCTAACTTTTTCAGCTTCTACAATTGCCAGTGCGTCAATCTCTTGCATTGCTTTCAAAAGCAGTCATGTTCACTTTTGGATTCATTATGTTGCGAGGCTAGTTTTGCATGCTGTTCATGAAATTTGTAAAGGCGGGTCTACTTTCTTCGATGACTTGTTCCGCATGGTCACCGGTAGGAAA